AACNNAGAGAGAAGCCCCTGACGCCCCCCCTTGGCCCCCCTTGCGGTCCCTCCTGGTCGCTCTTCTCGACTCTTGCTCGCCTTCTACGACTTCTACGACTTCTACGACTTCTACGACTCCTTCTACGTCCTGTTGAACGGCTTCGACGGCTTCGACAACTCGCATATCCGCCCAGCAGCCACCAGCAGCAGCAGCAGCAGCAGCAACAGCAGTCGAAACGCAGCCCTGTCCAACGGCGGTTAGCCAGCTTGCCGCTCCCCCGTTTCGCACGCAGGTCGACCATGTCCATAGTGCCTGCTCTAGACCCCCAATGAATGGCTTGTCGGTCAGCAGCGACGTTGCTACAGCCCTAGTAGAGGATCGATGGATGGGACTTACGACCTTCGACCACCACCGCCCGCCGCTCGTGACGGCACCAGCAGCAGCATCCGGGCAGCCACGCAGAAGACAATGTTGTCCAGAGCGCTGCAGAAGGCCAATACCGCCGTCCTGCTCGACAATGCCACCAACTACGAGGGCGCTATCGATGCTTACACCGACGCCTGCGGTCTCCTCGCGCAGGTCATGCAGCGGGCTGGTGCCGACGAGGAGAAACACAAACTAGACGATATCGTGAGTTCCTCTCTTCCACTCCACATATATATACGTTTATACGGCTTATCGAGAGTCTACTTGCTAACTGATCCGCGCAGAGGAATACGTACACTACGAGAATAAACGAACTCCGGCGCCTGGGTCTGGCGCTGCAGGCTGGCGGAAAGGCCCTGCCGGAGAGACCGCCGAGCGGTGAATCGCTATCCCAGAGCATCCTCTCAACCCATATCACAGACGGCGATGCAGACGATCAGGATATCTATTTCATTGGCACCGCCACTGCCACCCAGATACTCGCCAAATCTCCCGCCACTGAATCGCAGAATGAACGCTACATTCCGCCCCGGCAACAGTCCCTGCATCCGTCTGGAGACGGTAGCACCCACGACACGGACAATACAAGCAGTACGAACATGAACAGCGAACATCATCCCTCGGGCAGCTATCCCAGACCAGACGGTCTCGGTCTCTCAAATGTTGCGAATGGGGATCTGCAGAATCTCCAGGAAAGAGGCACCGAGTCGACTTCCTGGCTAGACACCATAGATGAGTCCGGTGCTTCATCAAGCTCGTCTATACGCTCGGCAAACTCTTCTCTCTATCTACGACGGAAGCAGGATGCCCACTACAGCAGAGGTACCGAGGCCGAGTTCGATGCTGCTCTGGACGAGGCTGTCGAGGCCGCTTACGATGATGGACTCGAAGTCGTCCCTCGAGAAGATGAACCTGATGATGATATCATGTCGCACGTCCGCCGGAATATCGAATTGGCCAAACAAAAGGTACGAGAGGCTGAGCTAGAGGCTGAAGCCGCCAGCGTCTCCGCCAGGGAGCGAGACCGGAGAAGACCCGAAATATCGCCTGACGACATAGACGTGGGTTCTGGTTCTGACCTCGACCGGAAAGGTTACTCAGACCACGAGGCCGAGGAAGAAGAGCGGATCCTGGAGGAGATGATGGACGATTTCGAGTTCGATCTCTCGTCCAAGTCTGCGCTTCCACGGCAATCAGGCTCCAGCGGCTACTCGAGCAGAACCTGGGGTAGCTCCGTTGCATCAAGCCGGACCAACACGGGCACCTTGCTTTCCACCCTCACGGAAGAAGATGATTTCTCGATTCCTCCCGGTGGAATGGCCAAAAATGTTCTTTCTTATTCTCAGCCGTTTCAAAAGCTCCCTCCGCCCGTGGGTGCGCCTCCGCCTCCACCGCCTCCACCGCCTCATCCACCGGTCCAACAGCACCAGCACCAGCAGCATCAACTACCACCACCACCAGCTCCCACTCGCGCTACACCAACACCGCCTTCACCCTCGGCTAAGGCAACGACAAGCTCTCCAGACACTGCAGATATTATGATGGCGTCGACAGTCCGGTCGCGAAGGCTGTCGGGCCGTCCAAAGGAGCTAATAATAGAGACCGGCTCAGCGCATGCCCCCTCAAGCGCAGACGGGGCCCGTCAAGTGCCACTACCTCCCTCAATGCTCCTAGCACATCCCATCACCCCGCTACCCTCGAAGACAAGCCATGGAAAATCGTCGAGCGATTTCAATCTTGAATCAATACAGCAACGCCCACACACAGCAATTGGCTCTCCAGAGTCCCCCGGACCAGATTCTCCTGCCATCTCAGCTTTTCCTACTCTTAATACACACGAGTCGGTCGATTTTGATACATTATTGACGTCTCCACCGTTAACTTTGAGCAGGCTACACTCTGCGCCAGGGATATCTAGAGAACCTACATACTCGGCTCCTGCTCTGAGTAAATCCTCGCAGCCCCCTAGCAGTCCCTTCACCACTTCTTTCATCCCAGAGTTAGGCAAGACCTTTTCTTTGCCTGCTGTGCCACCGCTCAGTTCGGCCGGCCCGTCTAGGCACCTATTCGACAATAACATCCATTCTCCGCTTACGCCGGGATCGCCTAACCCCAACGCCCCCGATGCGCCCATCCCTCTCGAGCCTTGCCCCCAATCCTTCCTCCTCCGTCCATTCTGGCTAATGAGATGCCTATACGAAACGATCACCCATCCTCGTGGTGGGTATCTGACCACTAAACTATTTATACCCAGAGACATATGGAAAGTGAAAAACGTGCGAATAAAGGGGCTAGAGGAGAAAATCTCAAACTGTGATCTGCTCACGGCAGCCCTACTCAAACTAGCAAAGGTCGACACCAACGATGCTGATGCCGTCCTAGAGGAAATGCAGGCATTCGAAAACATCCTGGATCAGGTGCAGGCCGTATGGTCTAGGAAACTCGGGAATGAAGTCGGCGTACAAGGTGCCATGGCGCTTTTCAAGCTATCGTCAGATGATACCTCTCCGGCGGTAGACTCATCCTCCAAACCTTCCAGCAGTGGAAGCAAATCCTATCTTTCCTCGTGGCGAAAACTCCGATCAAAGAGCTCCGGTATATCAAACACAAGCTCAAGCAGCATATCGAGAGATAACGGAAGGGAAAACTTGACCATGACATCGCTGCCGATGACTGATACGGTCGCTACGGCTACTCCACGACGAGGCGTCATCGGACTCAACTGTACTGGGCCAAATGCAAACTATATGAGCGCTCTAGCCAGGCTTTTCGACGCAGCGCAAGTTATAGGTATGTTAACCTTCCACCGCCACTCATCTATATGCTTTCCCTTCAATAAATAAGCCGCTTAAGTACTAACTTCTATTCAAATAGATCAAATAGCGCGCCAAGTTGAAGATCCAGGCCTAAGACATTCATCCCAGACTCTAGTTGGTCTCGAGCTCAGCACTCGGCATGCGTCTGAATTTTTCGGATTCTATGCCTGCCGGTTCGCCCTGAATGATATCGGCCTCATGATCGATAAGTTCATCAAACGAGGCAGCGAATATGTCATGGCTTGATCTTCTTGGTTTTCCTTTTTTTTAATACCACCCTAATCCCGTTGTTTCCCCCTTTTTATATCTGATTTTTATGCCATAACGAAATATCTGGTGTTTCCCCCCGGTTAGATTATGTAACTCGCATTATATCGAGGTGTTCATGGCTTGGCAATGTTTACATAATCCCCTCTGCTTTTGACGTCGTTTCCCCTTTTATTGGTGTTTCTCTTGATGTATATATCAAACACTTCCGAGGGCGCTGCGATTTGCTCCCTGCTGGCTCCAGCTTCTTGGGATATTAAGCCCATTTTTGCTTAAATAGAAGACGTTGAGATTTGTACCCTCAATATTTTTTTTTTTTTTTTTTTCACTATTCTTATCGTTTTGAAACATCTTAAAACGCGCTCTTAAACCATGGGTCTCAAGCGCGGGAAACGAGCTTCGTCCGAAGACGTCGAGCCAGCTGTTTCGGAGGACCGTTCCAAGAGGGCCAAAACAGCCGGGGATGCAGGCAAAGCCGGTCCAAATGCTCAGATATCCTCGACTTTAGATAAAGCTCCCAAGACGGATTCCAACGGAGATCCATACTGGGAGATCTCGCGTCAGCGGCGTGTCACTATATCTACGTTCAAGGGACGCGTGCTAGTGAATGTGAGCGAGTATTATGAGAAAGATGGTCAGGAACTGCCTGGAAAGAAGGTATTAATATCCATTGAGCCACCCTCGTTGCAAGGAAACCATGCTAACCCTCTGCGTTTCCTACCAGGGCATATCTATGACACTAGAACAGTTCAACAGCCTCGTTACATTACTTCCTGAAATCTCAGCCGTTATCGAACAGAAAGGGGGCAAGGTTACTCGTCCGGATTTCTCTGAGTCCGCTGCCACAATTGGCGAAGAGGACGAAGAAATGTCCGATGTGGATGAGGAAAAGTCGAAATCCAATTCCAAGGCTAAGAAACCATCCCCCACCAAAAACTTCGAGGCTACGAGCGACGAGGATGACGACGAATAAATAATTTAAAACAAGTACATGGCTTTGCCCTGGTTGGAACCTGGTGTATGAAATTACGTGTAACCTGGCTGGCGTCTGGTGTATGGGATGGGGATTTGGAGATATCCAGTTTGATTTAAAAAAAAAAAAAAAATTGGTAATTTCTATTGAAAGTCTGATTCCAGTTGAGACCTATTGTCTAATGCGGAATAATCTGATATTCATATAATCAAAAACTACGTCGCTGGGTGAGCTCTTCTTTTTTTTCGTTTTGGCAAATGAGCTAGCTGTCTAGTTACCTAGCCTACCTTGTTTGTTCCTACCCATGTCCCAACTTACATGCTAGTTAGTTTCCTGGGTTCCAACGCGCGATGCCAAAGAGCCTCCTTTCCAGGCAAGCTGAGGATCAGCTTCCTTTCGAACAACGCTTTCATTTCCGGGCTTTCCATATCCACCTCCTCCAGGAGTCTTGATAATGATACGGTCACCTGGTTCCATATTTGCAGTGTTTTTGGCTCCCAAGCTCACATGTTTGATGATTGGAGGCTCCTTAGATCCCTCAGGCTGAGGCATCTTACGGACCCAGATGTTCTGGCCGCAGGCAGCATCTTCTCCACCGTGCATACCATAGGGGTGGTAGACACGACGTTCGGAAAGAATGGATACCTGGACAGGAATGCGGAATTCGATATCTCTGATGACACCATCACCACCGCGGTTCTGACCGGCTCCACCGGATCCGGCGCGCAGGCTGAATTCTCTGAGGAGAACAGGGTATCTTCTCTCAAACACTTCCGCATCAGTGATGCGGGTGTTTGTCATGTGGGTGTGGACTCCAGAGGTTCCTTCCCAGTCAGGACCGGCTCCGCTACCACCTGCAATGGTCTCGTAGTATCCGAAGCCCTTGGTTTCCTCCTCGCCTGAAAGATTGCCTCCGAATCCGAAGGTCAGGTTGTTAGTATCACCCTGGGAGGCGGCACAAGCCTGGAAACACTTCAGGATGACATCGGTGACACGTTGACTCTGTAACGTGGTTAGCATGGTCTGTTATGCGTGGTTCTCAGTACCTATGAAAGTCACAACTTACTGTCATGACGTTTCCACCCACAACTGCAGCTTTGCTAGATGGGGAGAGGAATGAGCCCTTGGGGATTTTGACGTTAATAGGCTTCAAGCAGCCTTGATTGAGTGGGATATCCTCCGAAATGAGGCATCTCAGGCAGTAAATGATAGCGGAGTAAGTGACGGCTTCAGGGGCATTGGTATTGGCTATATCATCATTAGCAACGCGATTGCAAATTTGACCCTTGATAACCCGCATATAACTCACCATAAACCTCTGGGCCGGTGCCTTCGAAGTCAAAGACAGCCTCTCCCTTCTCAGCATCGATGGAGATCTTGAGGTGGATGGGGCTGCCGTCATCCATATGCTCAATTGCAGTCAGGTCCGCACCCTTGAATCTCTCACTAACTTGCTTCAGTAAGTTGCGTACGCTGAGTTCTGCGTTCTTCTGGATACTCTTCATATAGAGCTGGACGGTAGATCCACCATACTCCTCAATGAGGGTAGAGATGAGGCTGATACCCTTCTGGTTTGCGGCGACCTGTGCCTTCAGATCGTTGAGGTTGTCTGCAAGGCATCTAGTTCCACTGCAGCCGGGGTACTTGGCAGGTTCACGGTAGAGCAACTCTACCATACGCTCCTCGTTGAACTTTCCTTCAGAGACAAGCTTCTCTGATTTTATAGCAGCACCCTCCTGGTACAGTTCTTTCGAGTGTGGAGGCATGGATCCTGGTAGGATTCCTCCAATATCCGCTACAATAGATGTTAGTACTCAGCGAAGTAATGATAGTTGTAAGGGTCGTTTACATACCATGATGGGCTCTGGACGCAACATAGAACACGATCTCGTTGCCAGAGAAAGCTGGGGTAATCACAGTGATATCAGGCAGATGGGTGCCTCCAAACTCAGGGTGGTTGGTCACAATCACATCACCTGGCTTGAGTTTACCCTTCCACATTCCAGCTTGAGTACGAACACAGGTGGACATGCTGCCCAGATGGACAGGTAAATGAGGAGCATTGGCAACAAGGCCGCCATCACTGTCGAACAGAGCACAGGAGTAATCCAATCTCTCCTTGACGTTTGTGCTGACACTGGTCTTCTGCAGGGCACGACCCATCTGCTCAGCAATTGCCATGAACCGATGGCCAAAGATACTCAGCAGAATTGGATCGACCTCATCAGCCGATGCCTTTGTGCTTTCTTTCTTATTAACATCAACGTCGATAACCACATGGGTATCAATGATGAGAGCAGAGGAGGTTGGGGTGACCAGAATAGTCTGGGTTCCGTCTCCGAGAATAGCTGGACCGTCGATACGGTCATTTGTTTCCAGAGATCCAATCTTGTAGATAGGAGTGTCAACACGGCCGCCTTCGAAGTATACCTTCTGAGTGGCATGTGCCTTGCTCTTGGATACTGGAACTGGCTTTGCGTCACGAAGTTGCTCGTCGACGGTCTTAGGGAAGCTATCAAAGCTCTTTCCGATAGCTCGGAGACGAATGTCGTCAATGATGATGTCACGGTCAGGGAGGGTGAAACCGAACTCCTTTTCGTGCTGCTCAATGAAGGACTTGCCAAACGCTCCGCCCTCTTGCGGTTTAATGATCATAAGGGCAGACTCGGTTCCGCGGTATCTCATGTTGAGATATTCCTCGAAAACAATAGCTTCTTCCTTGAAGCCCTGATCATTGAGTCTCGCGACTGCCCCCTTTCTCAATTCCTGCATTCTCTTCTCAATGCTGGCCTTGACCTCCGAGCTCTCAGACCAGGACATGGACTCTGGAACCTGGCTTTCGTCAACTACATCGGCAAGAGCCATTCCGTAGGCAGACAAGACGGAGGAGTAACGGTGAACCAAGATCTGCTTGATACCCAGGTTTTCAGCAATTGCAACGGCGTGCTGGCCACCAGCACCTCCGAAGGTAGCCAGACGATGTTTTGAGGTATCGTGGCCCTTGGCTTCAGTAAGGGAGCGAATTGGTCGAGTCATAGCCTCGTTGGCAACCTTGATGAATCCATAAGCGACTTCATCGGCGGTCATCTTGCCTCTCTTTCCACTCTCAGCCATCTCAGCGTTAACCTTTTCAGCTAGTTCTTCGAAGAGCTTAGCGCTGGCCTTCTCATCCAGTCCTTCATCCTCATTCTTTCCGAAGATTTTGGGGAAGAACTCGGGCAGAAGTCTGCCCAAGAAGAGGTTGGCATCAGTGACAGTCAAGGGGCCTCCCTTTCTGTAGCAAGCAGGGCCTGGGTGAGCACCGGCAGACTCAGGGCCAACAACAAAGAGACCATTGCGGTAGAAAAGACGAGAACCACCTCCGGCAGCGACAGTGTTGATGTCAAGCTGTGGTGACTGAATAGTGACACCTGCAGTGGTGGTTTCGAAGACGTGCTCGTATCGGCCACCGTATCGACTGACATCAGTACTTGTTCCTCCCATGTCAAAACCGATGACGGGTATCTTGGTCTTGGGATCGTAACTAGTCAGGGCATATCCGACGACACCACCGGCAGGGCCGGAAAGGATAGCTCGGAGACCTGTGAAGCCATTGACATCTACAAGACCACCATCCGACTGCATGAATTCACATCGAGCACTCTTTGGCTGAGATGGGTCCTTGACACCTCCTGCGCCCAGGACGCCCTTGAATCCAGACTGGAAGCCAGAAATGTATCGTTTGATGGTTGGAGTGAGGTAAGCATCAGCGCAAGCAGAGGTAGCTCGGGGAACGAGCTTGATCATGGGCATAAGCTGGTGACTTAAGCTGACGTGCGTGAAGCCGATATCACTGGCGATTTTTCCAACCAGAGATTCATGGTCTGGGAAAGTATAGCCGTGCATCAAGCAGACGGCAATGCTTCTGAAGCCCTTATCATACAAAGCTTGTAGCTGGTCCCTGACTTTACCCTCAGATGGACGCTGCAGGATCCGCACAGCCTCTGAAGACAAGCCTCGAACAATGTCAGCATCCTTGGCTTCCTCGGTACGGGCCACCGTGGGGGTTGCGTGCCTCGTTGGGTCCTCAGCGTAGTCTTCCAGGGTAACTCTCTCTTCTATTTCAACCACTTCCTCAAACAGATCGTCCGGTCGACGAATGGCAAGGTCGAAGATCTTAGGACGAGACTGGTTTCCAATCTTCAGGCAATCCCGGAAGCCCTGGGTGACAACAAGTGCCATACGCTCGCCCTTACGCTCGAGGAGGGCATTGGTAGCAACAGTCGTGCCCATCCGTATACTCTCGATCTTGGATGTGTCGAGGGGAACGCCTCGAGGGATCTCTTCGCCCTGGAACTTCGATAGAAGCCTACGAATGCCCTCGAGGGGTGCATCCTTGTAATTCGACGGATCCTCGGACAGAAGCTTGATCACGACGTCATCTTCCATCCTGCCCGTCCCCGGATTGCCTACGCAGTCCGTGAACGTGCCGCCACGCTATATACATACACATATCAGTACGGGACGTTCAATAAACAGGACATCCTGTAGTAATATCGAGCAATACTAACGTCAATGGCAATGCGGATTCCATTTCCTTTGACCTGAGACATGGCCACGCCCAGATAGCTAGCAGCAACGGAGTATCCAAATGGGATCAGTCAAGCAGTATCGTTCGTCGTCTTGGTCTTCTTCAGCAGTCAGGGGTAGATAAGAGCTTCCCAAGGCCTTCTCAGCGTCTCTGCCTGGGGTATATCGGGTTTCAATATAGCAGCAGAAGCAAGCCGGATGAGCCCGCCGGCTGGAGGTTCGAGCGGTCGTCGGCGATTCTCCGTAGAGCCGCCCCACTAAGCGCCACTAAAAAGCTTATCGATAAGCTCTTCCCGACGTTGCGTGCCGGACGAAGCGTCACGATAGCTCTGCCGGCCAAACGGAGGAGCTGGATTCAAAAGCAGTGGGCAGCAAACTCCCGCGGAAAGGGGCAACTCCTGAAAAGCTTTCCAGTCCATCTGACAGGTTAGGTTTTGTGGATGTTGGCCGGTTTCCCGAGCTAGTAACTAGAGCAGCTAGTGTTAGTATACATGACCGGAGGGAAGGACCTGGAAGTCAACGTGTTATTCCTTCATTATTATAGCGT